TTTTTTTTTTTTTTTTTTTGAGGCTGTTGAGAAGAAAGCCCAAGTCGAAGATTTGGCTGGGCCACATGTGAAAGCCATGAAAACTGTAAGTCAGCTTTGCATAACCTAGCTAGCTGGGTATTTGCCTAAATTTGTATCTTTTGAAGTTTTTTAATTGCTTAAGAGATAATTTTCTACCTGTTTGCCCATTTATAAGATAGCTATTGCTGAATAATAACTATTGTTTGGGTTTATATAAGATCACTTTAATTTGCTTGATAGATATACGAGTGTTTTTAGTTGATCAACCTTTTGCTTTTTACTACTTATTATGAATCTGAAATTCGACTTTTCTTTTAATCCTTGTGACATTTGAAGAAATTGGCACCAGTTGTTAAGGAAAAATGGACAGTAGTTGCAAGTAATGTTCAACCACACGTGCAAACACTGACAACAAAATCCATCGAGATATATAAATCGTCTAAGAATGCATTATCTGCACATATCACTCGAGTTTTGGAACTTGTTGATCCATATTTTCAGGTGGGTTTACATATTACTATATCCCGGTATTTTTAGTTTGTTACCTTTCAACTATTTCTACATAATAAAAGTATTTTCAGGATTTGAGGAAAATTAGTAACCCGTATATTGATCGGGTAGCCGATGCAGCTAGGCCTCATGTTGACAAATTACGTGCCGTTTTGAAGCCCTACACAGAAAAGGGAGCTCGAGTGTCTGTAAAATTACTTGAATCGGCAGAAATATACCATCATCGCGTAAGCATTTTCTTAAATTTTATTTTTATAGGGGAAATGAAATTAATTGCCCGCAAAAATCAATTTTTAGGACATTTATATCATTCAGAATCTCAAAGGAATATTTCTTATATCTGATGATAATAAAGGTTCAACACAAGGTCGAGGAGAAACTCAAGTCTCATGAACTTACAGTGCCTTTGGCAACAAAAGAACTTGTTTGGTTTTCGGTAAGTTCACATAAACCTCTTCTCTTTTCATCTTTTGCTTTCTCTGCAAACTTATATTGTGTTACACAAGTGTTTTTGCACGGTTTAACCGACCCGTTTGTTTTAGGCGTCTGCTCTGTTGGCTTTGCCCTTCATTTTCCTCATGAAAATATGTTCGGCCATCTTTTGGTTAGTGTCTTGGGCTCAAGTTTTTCGCCTCAATTCTTTTTCCCTGTTTCATTTTCCTCTTCATTTTATTCTTATTTGCGAATATAACTTTAATTCAATTTTGACGATGTTTTTGTAGTAGAAAGGCGCCAAGGCCGACTCAAAATGTTAACAGAGATCGTGGGAAAGCAAATTAGTCGAGACCTGAAAAGCTAATTGCCACTCGATGTAAAGCATGCATTTTTTAATCTAAATCAAAATTCATAACTTATTCGTTCCATGCAAAGTATATGTATAACTTTATACGCTTCGACTAATTTCTTTCATTTTTTTCTTCACAGGTCTACTATGGTCACTCACCCGAGCCCATACAGCTATAGTATAATCGTTTGTACCTGTAAAAAGAAGTCGATCATTGAATTGTAGCGCTTTGTTTCTTTCTTTGTGTTTATAACAGGAATAGTTTTTTGGGAGTCAGCATTATAGATTTAAGTTCATGGAAGTTTTAAGGTTTTGTCCCCAGTATATGTAAGATATAGCCCTTGTTAATTAATGTTCATCTGCTATAATATAGACTGTTTAATCTTTAGACAAGTTGATATGTAATATGTTGTCAATAAAAATATTCATTTACTGTTAAAAACTATATATTTTTTTCTGTATTTTTTATAGTATGATATTTTTTATTCCATATGTTTCCAATTCAATTCAACTTATATTGAATGCACGAAATTATTTGTTTTAAAGTTACAATAATTAGTCAAATGTACCTGCTTTAAGAGCTCGGAGTTTCTAATAAGCAAGGTCAAATTCAAACCTTAAGCAAACATAGCTCAAACGGCTCATGTTTCAATATTAACGTCGTGGTAAACGAGATCTAACAATAATAAACAAAAAAAAAAAACAATTATCCAAATGTTGTTATGAAATGCGGGGAATATAAAGAACACAATGTAAAAACCGGATATAAATCAAAAGATGCTATTTCTCTTTCTCTTTTCGTCACTTAAATTGTGCACACAAAATGAACTACATATGTTGCCATTTTATAGACAAATTTTGGCACACATACCAATACACATGCTAATATAATAATAATAGGATAATAGTGGTAAATTCCACTTACTTTACAATAAATGTGTATTTTTTGGCTATAAATTAAATCAAAAGTTGGAACATAAGCAAAATTCGCCACTCTAAAATGTCGATAAAAGAGTGCATTTCCATAAGGCAATAGCCGATAACCATTTTCTGCTAAGCTAATATCCTGATCTCAACTCCGACTAAAATAATCGCATAAACAGAGCACGAATAAAGTCTTAACATACCTCTCAACCAATTTCTACCGACGCTTTTTACCACCGCTCTTCTTTTTACCATGCCCCTTTTTACCACCTTTCTTTCTCTTCCCCTTCCCATGACTACGTCCACTATTGTTATCTTCAGCTTGAGGCCGAGGGGCAGGAGATTTTAATAAATGCTTAACATCAAGAACACCGTTTCTGAAATTACCTTCGCTCGACTTCAGAACTCTATCCTCAGGTCGGCGCCTTTCCACTGGTTTTTTAGACGCATTGCTAGCGTAAGCTCCAAATCTTCCAAGAATTGCATTCTGTTAATAAAAAAAAAAAAGTTAATTATTTATGTTTAATTCTATTGAATTATTTGTTTATTGCAAATGGAGCTGGAAGAGTCATTGTTGACAATTCTTTTGGCATAGTGCTAATAATGGACTAGATCAAAATGGCTCAATTAAATTATAGTGCTTCTTCTATTAGTGAAGTTTTTAGAAAAAAAATATATCAAACGACGCAATGCACCTTGGGTCACTACGGAAACAACCTCCCTGTATAATTACAAGGGTAAGGTCTACGTACAACTGACCCCCAGATCCCAACCAGTTGGGAATATATTGGGTATGATGTTGTTGTTGTTGTTGTTGAATAGTTGCTAAAGTGCAATTGGAAAGAAATAAAGAAGATGAGAAGAAATGTTTGGTGACCTCTTGAGCCATTTTTTCTTCTCTTTCCTTTTGCTTCTTCATCATGAC